TCAGGCTTGGAGAGAGAGTCAGGTAACAATGGGAGGGCAAGCAAAGGGTGGATGGCAGCCAACCATTTGGCTGAAGTAGTTAAGTCTTCAGAGAAGGGGCCTAGAAGAGAGGGGAATTGTCACCAGGGAGAGGGAGGATATTCCAGGCCAAGGGAGCCGCAGGGTGGTTAAAGAGATAGATAAGAGTGGGAAGAGGTGACTAAGGGGTCCAACAGCTTGTGAACAGGAGAGTAGGAGGGAATGAGGGCAGCAGGCTTTAAATGCAAGAATGAGAAGCTTGAAGGTGAAAGGAAAAGAAAGGGAGACGATTGAACATATGCCCATCCAGCCCCTTATTATCTAATCAGACTGCAAGTAGCATGTTTCTCTCTCTCTCTCCTCTAGAAAAAGAGGTGCTGGAGCTGACTATGAACTTCTCCCTTGTTCTCTTAGAATGGCAATGGCGCCCACCTGAGACGTGCCAGAGTTGAGCTCCAATGAGCTCCAGCTGAAAAAAAGCCCTGTGTGTATGCGTCTTTCCTAGCCCTGCTACCGGAACTTTTTGAACCTGGGTCCTTCTGCAAGCAAGCTGTGCCCTCTGTCATTGACCTATGGCTCTGTGATGCTGGGAATTCTGGAGGCACTGATCATGGCAAGGGAGTGGGGATACTGTATATTGGTAGAGTGTTCTAAATTGACCAAAGATGAAAAACACTGGGTTGTTTCTAGCTAAGTTGTACTCGGAGCAAACCCAGTGAAATAAATGAACCTTTGCTAGTCACTGCTATGAAATTAAATAGGTCTACTCTGAGTAGGAATAACATTGGCTACAACCCTAGTTCAGCACCACAAACCCCAAGCAGATGCCTCCCGGAAGTCTGTAAGGAAGGCACCATAGAAATGGCTCTCTCCAGTGCTTTCCCCCCATCATCTATATTGCTTCTGACTATGGAGGTTCCAGCACCTCACATACTGCAGACTCTTAAAACCAACTCTCTAGCATCCTGTTCTTAACTCCGTGCACAAACCACTCTCCTTGCCTCCCCTGCCCCCCAGTCTGACAGGCCCAGACTTCTAACTACCCCCAGCTGAAATCCAACAAGACCCTTTGCTCAGCTTCTAAGTTGTGCAGCCCCTAAGTGTATTACGCCCTTCCCCATCTGTTTCTTCGCTCCCACTCTCTCCCAGAACCAACCACATCCTCCTCACACCTCTCTGTACAACTAACCAGATCTTGACATTTCTACCAATACTTAACACACACACCCCCAATTTCCCACCAGTCTGGTCTTGTTTCACCCACCCACCCCAATCTTTTGGACCTCACTTCTCTACCACCACATCTGAGACTGAAAACAGCTCACCCTCTTCTCACTTGCTGCAGCCAACTGTTTAGCAGGGGAGAGAGGAAATTATCATGTTTCCCACCATACTTTAATTTTAGTGTCCCCCTCGCAAATTCTTTCACCCCAAATTCCAAACTCAAACAAGGGTTGGCCAGACTCTTAAGCCGCCACCTCTCCTCAAGTTAAACCTTTTCCAAAGGCTTTGAATTCTTAAGCCTGCCCCATCCATCACATAATTAGCAGAGTCCTCCAACCAACTCCTTCATGCCCCCAATTCCCCTGCCCAGCCCCATATCTTATCCCCAGTACCCCAACCTATTCTTTCACACTGCCCTCCAATATGCACACATCCATGTGCATTCACACAAGCAAACCCCTTGGGTTTCCAATCTTTGTGTTACTACTTCAAACTAGACCTCTTAACACCTTCCTCCCTATACCTCTTTAATATTCTCCAACCTTCATATATCTATTTTTCGCCATCCTGCTCCACATGCACTTTAAGTCCCACCACTACCACTATGCCTGCTACTTCTTAATTTTACCACTTCCAGTATTAGCTCCCCCCCCAAAAAAAACCCTCCCTCCACTCAATTACCTTGAAATAAACTATTTCCAAACGTTATCCCACTATTTGGAACAAACCCTCTTGGTGCCCCCAGTATCCCAAACCTGTTTAGACCCAAGTGCCTCCATGTATCCTCACAAACCTCAAACCACCCCAAACTATTTGATTCAACAACTCCCCTCCCTGCCCCTTAGGAACACCCTTTGCCCCACAGCACCCCAATTTAAAGTCACCCCACACCCCCCAACCTCCTTCACTAACCCCTTTTCACTTTACCAAAACCACCTCCCTTCAAGTCTCCATCCCACTGCTTGGAACTAACCCCCCCCTTATTCCTTTCACACGCACCCAAACACCCCACATTTCTTTTGCCTCCCCCTTATTTCTTCAAACCCTTTTACCCCACAAACTAGGTAGTTCAGCCAGCCTCCTTGCTCCTCTCAGCAACCCCCCTGATCCACAACCCAGCCCCCACAACTAACTTTATAAACACACACACAAAACTCCACCATACTCCCCATGGTGGCTTTTTTTTTATAAGCCCCCCCTTTTCACATTACTGTACAAATAAACTTAGTCCCACTTCCTGGGTCCAGCCCCCTCCCTTGAGCCCCCCTGCCCCCCTCACCTCCTCGGTGAGACAAGGTCCCCTCCCCCAACTCCTCAATGCACCCCCCGACACCCCCCTCCCCCACCAGCCCTCTCTCTATCTTTAACCCCTGGTGCTGAACCCCTTTAGCCCCCCTCACCTATTAATTTCCCCTTCGTTCCCTGCCTCTCCCCTCACATTCTCCCCTCCAGCCAGCAACCCCTCCTCCCCTCGTGTCTCGCCCCTCCCCCATTTTCCCCCCACAGGCAAAAAAAAAAAAGCCCTCTCCCCCCGCCCCCCTCTCCTTCCTTACCGCCCACCCGGTACATATTGGCCGCCATGACGCCTGTGGGGCGCTTCGACTCCTCCCGGCCCGGCCCGCCGCGGCCCCCTCAGGAACTCCGGGCCCGGCCGCTCTTCATCGCCTCCCGCCGCCGTTGTCGTCTCCCTCTCACGCAGCGAGCGCCGGCGCCGGCCAAGCCTCAAGTCCTTCGGGAACCTCCGGAAAGCCCCCTCGGGAATCTTCGGAAACCCTCGGCTTTTTCCGGTTCTCGCTCGTCGAAAGAACACGCCTTTCCTTACAGCATCTCGGGCTTTTACGGAAAGAGGTCGAAAGAGACGGGGATTTCCCCGGCCAGTTTTCCCCCTCCCCCAATACTACCAACGGATGAATGAGGGCGACGTCTGCTGACCATACCCGGAAATGGACGAGGGCCACTCGTGCTTTTCCGGATGCCTTCGGGTCGTTCCGTAAAACAAACCTTTCCCCCCTATAAGCGGTAGGGAGGACGGGTCTGGACTGCTTTTTAGTGGCAAGAGTTCAGAACGCTCCTTGGCGTCTTTACGTCACTTCGCAAATTAGGCGCAAGGCCGCGCCGCTCGGCTGTCTTCATTTTCGGTGTCAAGAGATTAACCCTTTCCTCAAAGCCCCTTCTCCTCCTCGAATGTGCTGGCGCTTCTTGCTACGCAGAACGCAAGAAACCTATTGGGTGGATGCCGAAGTGTTCTGACTAACTCGAAAGTGTGCCTACGTCCACGTCAATTTGTCCATTTTATTTATTGCCCATAGTATATGCAGTATAATAATTCCACAACCAACCGTGGGCTACATACACACCATGTATTTGAGGCAGAGTTCTCTCCTCTCCACACAAAAAAATGTAGGAACCGTAGTTTAGTAAGGCTGCTGGGACTCGCAGCTCTGTCAGGAATAAACTACGTACAGTCCTCAGGTTTCTTTAGGAGGGGGCCGGATGCGCTTTAAATGTACAGTGGTACCTCAGGTTACATACGCTTCAGGTTACATACGCTTCAGGTTACAGACTCCACTAACCCAGAAATAGTGCTTCAGGTTAAGAACTTTGCTTCAGGATGAGAACAGAAATTGTGCTCCAGCGCACGGCAGCAGGAGGCCCCATTAGCTAAAGTGGTGCTTCAGGTTAAGAACAGTTTCAGGTTAAGAATGGACCTCCGGAACGAATTGCCGTATTTTTCGCTCTATAACACGCACCCGACCATAACACGCATGTAGTTTTTAGAGGAGGAAAATCCGTAGGCATGCCACCCGTAGGCATTTCCTCTATAACACGCACAGACATTTCCCCTTACTTTCTAGGAGGAAAAAAGTGAGTGTTATGATGCAAAAAATACGGTAAGTACTTAACCTGAGGTACCACTGTACTTGCTCCATTTACCTCTTAGATTTCAAACAAACAAAACAAGTAATCAAGAAGATTACAAAGGACCAAAGGAACTTGGTATGAGATGGCAAATCTCAACTCAGGGTTAATTAAAATATAAAGCCAGATCTTAGGTTAGAGAGGTTGGAGTGAGGAGTGATGTAATCGAGAAGCAAAGTAGCAGGCAGAGCACAATGGCTGATGGCTGTTTGAATCCAGGGCTGTAGCTATGGGAGAAGCAAGACCTATTGGCGTGTAAATACTGTGAACCCCTCCATCGTAGGCTCAAGCTGTATATATGTGTAAATAAATCATCTGTCATTAAAACACCACAGTCTCCACTGTGCCTCATTTCCAAAAGGAAACATGGACCCTGGTTAAAGCGTACTTTGGAAACCCTGGAATCTCGCACTGCTCAGAGATTGGGAAAGTGCAACAATAATAAGCAATACTGGTATCTTCCTCGTCTGTTTCAGAAACAACCCAAGTAGAGAGCCCCTCTCTACTTCACATACATTGAATTGGGCCCAGGCTTCTGTTACAGTTGTCACTTATGGGGCAAATGGTCATTGTTTGACTACATGTAGGTTTCAAAACTCAGCACTGAAGCTGCACTTAAAAAAAAAAAAGTTATCTTTTCCCCTCACTCCCCTCTCCTATAAAAATATGTCCCAACACACAACTGGTGTCACTGGGAGTTGAAATATTATACTGCAGGTTATCCTGTGTTGTTGGGTAACCATGGTTACCAGTTGGCCACAAATTCCTGCTGCAGTCCTTGTCCTTGCGCCCCCCTTCACCACGTCCAGGATGGAAAAAAAGACACGGAACAGCAGAACTCTGGATGCAAAGGTTTATTTTTTCGTTTCTCACAGTGTTAAGGCCCTTCTTTGCGCTTGCTATTTACACATCAGATCCAGCCCCTGCCAGAATCACTAGGAATGTAAACGAAGTACGGAAGGATGGCAGTAAGGGGAGGGGTGTGTGGATGGAGACATTTACCCATCTTCGCTGGACTTAACAGAATCCAGCGTCTTTCAGGCTTGAAAGGGGAACATCACTGAAGTTCAAAGGGAACATTCTCCAGAGAGGTCCCCAAATCTACACCCCGTCCCCTCGCCACTCACAAGTAGTCCTTCTCTCAAAAACCCCCTGTCTGAGAGACAAGGAACAGGTCTCTCTGCCTTCTCACACACAACAGGCTAGACATTTTCCTTCACGGTGCCAGATCTCCTGAGCCTAGGATTGCTAGTTATCCTGGCTGATCCCACCCTTATGTTAATAAAGCAAATCACATTGTTAGCCAAAGGAAATTTAAGTTGGCAGGGAGAAGAGACTCCCGCCTTCCCACGGATCCATCAACCTGAGCACTTAGTCCACAAGAACGAGTCACGGGGATGGGAGGTCAGCCCCATCATCCTCTCTTGCAAAGGCTTAGTCACCATACTGGGGTATGAGATTTTGCTTCTTCCCCTCCCACTGGCTTCAGGTGCTGACCCCAGCATCCTGGGAGGAGACTGAGGCAGAAGAGAGGGATTGGCTGCGGGCAAGGCTGCCGCCCACCACGCGCCACTGGAAGATGCTGGTGTCCTTGCCCCCCATGGAGATAAGGTGGCCATCGTTGTGCGTGAAACGCACATTGGTGACGTGGCTCCCATGGCCCCCATAGACGTGACTTGGTGCCTGTGGAAAAGAAGAAAAGGTGGGTAAACGTTTTGAAAAGGTGCTATCATCAAAGGGATGTTCTGGGAACGGGAAAGCCAATGTGGTGCCCTCCAGATTTTGTTGTTGGACTGCGACTCCCATCAGCCCTAGCCAGCATAGGCAATGGTAAGGGATGATGGGAGTTGTAGTCCAAGAACAGCTAGCATCTTTTGGCCGAGAAATACCCTGAAAGGTTAGCTGAGTGGCACAGATGCAGGAAAGTAGCCTTGCTTATGATCCATAAGAGACTGGATTAGGTTGGGAGAGCCTAGAGTCACCAGGATCCAGCGTGCAGTGTGGGATAAGTTTGAAAGTACAGGGCGGTACCCTCTGAAGTCAAGGAAATCAACCCAAGCCTAGAATGGGGATCAGAAGACAGAACTCATGTCCTTATCCCCAGCCTAGCCCAGTTCAGAGCTGAATTAATCCTTGCCTACGAGCAACCTCTTCTCCCACCCCACCTCAAGTCAACACCATTCTACCTTGGGCTTGGCGCAAGGGTACTGGAAGAGGTGCACCTTGCAGAAATCATCTGCCACAGCCACCACCCGCTCGTTGTGGGAGCGGCAAAGTGCATTGATGTCGGTGCCATCCGATCCGTCAGGCCACACCCCTGTGAGCAGAGGGAAAGAGAGAGGGGGAAGTGAGATGTGATGAGTACTATGGAGAAGAAGATGAAATCAAGGCCAGAATCTTACAGGGAGGGGATGCAACTCTGTGGCAGAGAGCATGCAGATGGTCCCAGGATTAATCCCCAGCATCACCAGGTACAGTTGGACAAGTTCCCTGCCTGAAACCCAGGACAGCTGCTGCCAGTCAGAGTACACAGTAATGAGCTAAATGGGCCAATGGCCTGACTATGTTCTCTCCCCACCTTGTGCTAGGTTAGCACATAGAACCCAGCAGGTTAGCTTCCCAACAAAACCAATGGAGTAGGCTTGTTTTTCTTATCTCGCCTCCAAACTCACCAAAAACATGAAAGCCCAGCACGCAGGTATACGAGGCCCATTCACGGTCCTTGTTCTCAAAGCGGTTCCTCAGCAGCTTGCAACCTCCAGCCACATCCCCTGAGAACCAGACATGCAAAAGTAAGGATTAATTTTGCAGAGGATACCAGGCTGTTGCCCAGAGAGAGGGCACTCCTAGGATCTTGATATTTTCCGGTACAATTCAGTCACAGGCCGAGAGGGGGCTATTGTCTTCTGGGCAACCCTGGACCTCCATAGACACTTCCTAGACTTGCACCCTGGGGAGGTCACTCCAGTGCTGCTAACGCAGCAGCCATATGACTTCACCCTCAGAAGCGCACTCCTGAGACAGACAGATGGCAACAACTATTCAGGCCTATACTGGCGTTTTCAGGTTGCACAATTAAAGTCAAATGATAGACCTGTGCACCAAACCTGCCTGCTCCCCCCCTGCCCCAAAGAAAGCCAGACTTTTGCTATAAGGGATGAGGAAATGCACTAGAAAATGTGGGATAACACTTTGGGCAGTTCAACACTACACACTGAAAGTACACTCATTGCACATTTAAAGCACATTGTTGTTGTTTAGTCATTTAGTCATGTCCGACTCTTCGTGACCCCCTGGACCAGAGCACGCCAGGCACTCCTGTCTTCCACTGCCTCCCGCAGTTTGGTCAAACTCATGTTAGTAGCTTCGAGAACACTGTCCAACCATCTCGTCCTCTGTTGTCCTCTTCTCCTTGCGCCCTCCATCTTCCCCAACATCAGGGTCTTTTCCAGGGAGTCTTCTCTTCTCATGAGGTGGCCTCAGCTTCACGATCTGTCCTTCCCGTGAGCACTCAGGGCTGATTTCCTTAAGAATGGATAGGTTTGATCTTCTTGCAGTCCATGGGACTCTCAAGAGTCTCCTCCAGCACCATAATTCAAAAGCATCAACTCTTTGGCAATCAGCCTTCTTCCTCTAAATAATCCTGAGAAATGAAGTTTCCTCCTTCACAGAGCTACAATTCCCAGAACTCTTAATGAGCAACAGTTCCCAGAATTCTTGAGTGGGGGGATGGGACTCATATACTTTAAATGTATGTTGGATGTCCTTTAAATATATGGTGTCATCTAAGCCAGTGTTTCCCAACCGGTGTTCCGCGGCACACCAGTGTGCCGTGAGACCTTGCCTGGTGTGCCGTGGGAGGGAGGCGGGAGAGGCGGGGCGGCGGCGGCATCTCCTGCTGGATGCAAATCCAAACATGGCGGGCGCCTCCCTCGCTCCTTTGTAGGCGGACCATCGAGAGAGAAAGAAAAGGAGGCGAAAGAGCGAGAGAAGGCGCCTGCGCGGAAAGAGGAGCGAGCAGTGCGCCTGCGCGCCGCGGCGCCCGAGATCGCTTCTCCCCACCGCCCCTTGCTTCAAAAGAGGTCCGGGGGCAGCGGGAAGCGCAGCGCTTCTTCCCCGCTGCCCCGGACCTCTTTTGAAGCAAGGGGCTGCGGGGAGATCGCTTCTCCCGGTGCTCCGAAGCGGGGCGGGGGGGCGGGAACCTGCAGCGCGGAGCGCGGGGCGCCCTTTGGAGGACGCCCCGTGCTTCGCGCAGCTGTCCGCAAGCCTTGGGCGCCGGGCCTGGGGGAACTCCCCCCCCCGGCGCGCAAGGCTTGCGGGCGGCAGCCTGCAGCGCGGAGCGCGGGGCGCCCTTTGGAGGACGCCCCGTGCTTCGCGCAGCTGTCCGCAAGCCTTGGGCGCCTGGGGGAACTCCCCCCCCGGCGCGCAAGGCTTGCGGGCGGCAGCCTGCAGCGCGGAGCACGGGGCGCCCTTTGGAGGACGCCCCGTGCTTCGCGCAGCTGTCCGCAAGCCTTGGGCGCCTGGGGGAACTCCCCCCCGGCGCGCAAGGCTTGCGGGCGGCAGCCCGCAGCGCGGAGCGCGGGGCGTCCTTCAGAGGACGCCCCGTTCTTCGCGCAGCTGTCCGCAAGCCTTGCGCGCCCAGGGGAACTCCCCCCCCACGTGCACGGCTTGCGGGCGGCAGCCAGCAGCGCGGAGCACGGGGCGCCCTCCGTAGGAGGCTGCGGAGGGTGGCGCGGAGCTGCCCGCGCTCCAGGGCTTCTTGCAGCTCCGCGCCACCCCCGGATCCCGGCGCGAAGCCGCGCGGGGCTGCGGAGGGTGGCACGGAGCTGCCTGCGCTCCAGGGCTTCTTGCAGCTCCGCGCCACCCCCCGGATCCCGGCACGGGGCTGCGGAGGGTGGCGCGGAAGCTGCCTGCGCTCCAGGGCTTCTTGCAGCTCCGCGCCACCCCCCGGATCCCAGCGCGAAGCCGCACGGGGCTCTGGAGGGTAGCGCAGAGCTGCCTGCATCCCGAAGCCTGGTGCGCGCTGAAGAGCGCCCCCGGGCTTCACGCACCTCTCCGCAAGCCTGGGGAGACCAGTGTGGCTCCCTAGGCTTGCGGATATCAGGCTGTTCTGGGGTCGGGGGAAGCTTGGGCTTCCCCCGCGCCTGCCCCGTGCCTGGGGAGGGGAAAAAATTTTTTTTCTTTATTCTCCCCCCAAAAAATTAGGTGCGTCTTATGGGGCGGTGCGTCCTATGGGGCGAAAAATACGGTAGTCAATATAGGCACAGAGTTAAATTTTTTAACATTTTCTAATGGTGGTGTGCCTCGAGATTTTTTTCATGAAACAAGTGTGCCTTTGCCCAAAAAAGGTTGGGAAACACTGATCTAAGCTCCACACAAACTACTCACAGTGAATGCTCAATAAACAGGTGGTCTGGAAGCGAACAGAGGCTAGATCACCACATGGGAACAACTATCAGGTCTCAGAATTAACCAAAGGCTCAGGACCTTCCATTTCTCTGCCACTTCAGGGAATTCTCCCAAATTGCTTTCCCTAACCAATGGGCCTTACTGCAGAAATTAAACAGCAGCTCCACACCTTGGTAGCCAAAGGAATTACCGCACAATGCACTTCAGGGCAGAAGTTTTTTTTTAAAGAGGTTTGTGATTCGAAAGTTGTCATCTCAAGGTTTTCACCTTGAGAAAGCATGTATCTTCCTTCCCCTCCTGCTCAGACATGGAACTTACAGTACAGGATTTCATAGTCCCCAGAATTGGACATGATGAATTTCCCATCCTTGGACCAGTCCAGATGTGTGATGAAACTGGAGTGTCCCTGGAGTGCAGGGAGAGAAAGTGTGCAGGTTAGGAAGCATCTGGTCTGGTTTTGCTTACCAACAAACCAATCAGTAATATGCTCACCGTGCAGCGGCCAAAACGGGTGTATTTATGCCCGCTGTCCTCTACGCTGTAGATATAAATGAAATTGTCGTGGGAGCCAATGGCCAAGAACTCCCCATCTGCCAAAGAAGGTAAAAGCACAGTTAGAGGCAGGGGGAGGACAGAGAAACAAATTCCCCAACAGGAAAGGCTGGGGTGGGGGGGCGAAGGCTCCGTGGCAGAGCATCTGCTTTGCATGCAGAAGGGTCCCAGATTCAATCCCTGGCATCTCCAATAATGGCTGGGAAAGGTCCCCTGTCTGAAACCCTGAAGAGCTGCTGCTAGTCAGTACAGTGGTACCTTGGGTTAAGTACTTAATTCATTCCGGAGGTCCATTCTTAACCTGAAACTGTTCTTAACCTGAAGCACCACTTTAGCTAATGGGGCCTCCTGCTGCTGCCACGCCGCTGGAGCACTATTTCTGTTCTCATCCTGAAGCAAAGTTCATAACCTGAAGCACTATTTCTGGGTTAGCGGAGTCTGTAACCTGAAGCATCTGTAACCTGAAGCGTATGTAACCCGAGGTACCACTGTATATACAATACAAAGCTAGATGGACCCAGCAATCTGACTTCGGATGAGCCAGTTTCCCATGTTCTTATTTAAATCAGCTGTCCAGCTAGAACCATGAGGACTGGAATCTGCCTTCATTTTTAGGGGAGGAATCTTTGCTCAGTGGTATGGCATCGGCCTTCCATATAGAAGGTCCCAGATTGAATCCCTGGCATCTCCATGTAGAGCTGATAATAATAATAATAATAATAATAATAATAATAATAATAATAATATCTTATTTCTTATACCCCATCCATCTGACTGGGTTACCCCAGCCACCCTGAGTGGCTTCCAATAAAAGGTAAAGGAACAAAGCATCAAACATTAAATCTTCCCAAAACAGGGCTGCCTTCAGATGTCTGAAACCCTGGAGAGCTACTGCCAGTCCATGCAAATGCATGTGAGCTAGATGGACCAATGGTCTGACTCAATACAAGGCAGTTTCCTATGTAGAAACTTAGGAACTGGTGAAAAAGGAAGCAACGGCCTAACCTGGCGAATAGCGCACTACTGAGAGCTGCTCGTTCCCATCTATGTAGCTCGACAACACTTGTTGTGTCTCCGTGTCCAGCACTACCCATCTGTTGGAGGGAGAAAACAAGAGATTCTCTCAGCAGCCAGTGACCACACCAAAAGGGCACAGTTCTTTTCCGGTGTGCAGGTGCACAGAAAGCTGAAATTTAACAGGACAAAGCTCCCCCACTAACTGCATTCTGGCCAGAGGAAGGAAGTTTAGCCTGTTGATTTTCTGCTTTTCACACAGGTGTTCTCAAGGCCAGAAAAGAAATTGGCAACCCTTACTAACGAAGCAGGGTTGCCCTTCCCAAGTGTGCAAAAGTTGAGGCGAGGGTGGGGTGGAACAAGTAGTTACCGTCCAGAGCTGAACCCGACTGTGACCACTTTCCCACTGGGATGGAAGTCAGCACAGAGCCCTGTCTCCTAGAGAAGAGAGAAAGAGGAACGACATGAGATTTATTGTAAATACTATCATGACATAGGGTAGCTCAGTGTTTCCCAACCGGTGTTCCGCGGCACACTAGTGTGCCGCGAGACGTTGCCTGGTGTGCCGTGGGAGGGAGGCGGGCGAGTCGGGCGGCGAGAGGCGGGGCGGCGGCGGCGAGGATCCGCGTCGAGCCAGGGGGGGCTCCGCGGTGGTGGTGCCAAGGTTTCTCTCTCCATTCTCCCCTCACACACACACAGAGGAAATAACACAGGGTCAGCTGACAGGACCCGGCCAATGGGGCGGCGGCGGGGCAGCGCGCGCAAAAGGGAGGAGCGCGAGACAGCAGACGAGGAGGAGGCCGGCATGTCCGGGCAGCAGCAGCAACAACAGCAGCAGCAACTCCCGGCGACGGCTCCTCAAGCCCCGGGCAACCCTACTCCCTCACCGGCCTCGGCCGCCCTCCTGCTCCACCCGCCGCCTCCCCCACCGCCGCCCCCTCCTCCGCCCGCTATCGCCGCCACCACCACAACAGCTGCCGCCGCCTCAGCTGGGCCCATGCCTGCCAGGAGCGGCGGCGGCAGCAGCAGCAGCAGTGCCCCGGCGCCCTTCCCTCCCGGCGTGACGCTGCGCGCTGACGTCACGGGGTGCCTCAAGATTTTTTTCATCAAACAAGTGTGCCTTTGCCCAAAAAAGGTTGGGAAACACTGGGGTAGCTAACTGGATACGGTGCTATTCATTCAGTGTGTTCAAAGCACAGAACTGCCCCAGTCAGGTGGAAAGAGGCTATGAAAGAGGATTAGACAAACTCCTGGAGGACAAGGCTATCAGTGGATATTAGCCATGTCAACTATATTTCCCCTCTGCTGTCAGAGACATTATGCCTCTGAAGACCAATGTCTGGGAATCACAAGTGGAGGGAGAATGCTGTTGCTCTAACATCCTGTTTATGGGCTGCCCAGAGGCATTTCGTCAGCCACTGGAAGAACAGGATACTGGAGTAGATAGGCCATTGGCCTGAACCAGCACGTTCATCTTACCGTATTTACTCAAGTCTAATCCTGCCATAAAGAAGGCTGATTGCCAAAGAATTGATGCTTTTGAATTATGGTGCTGGAGGAGACTCTTGAAAGTCCCATGGACTGCAAGAAGATCAAACCTATCCATTCTTAAGGAAATCAGCCCTGAGTGCTCACTGGAAGGACAGATCCTGAAGCTGAGACTCCAATACTTTGGCCACCTCATGAGAAGAGAAGACTCCCTGGAAAAGACCCTGATGTTGGGAAAGATGGAGGGCACAAGGAGAAGGGAACGACAGAGGACGAGACACTTGGATAGTGTTCTCAAAGCTACCAGCATGAGTTTGACCAAACTGCGGGAGGCAGTGGAAGACAGGAGTGCCTGGCATGCTCTGGTCCATGGGGTCACAAAGAGTTGGACACGACTAAACGACTAAACAACAACAACCCTGCCAACCTAGCAGTTCGAAAGCATGTCAAAGTGCAAGTAGATAAATAGGTACCGCTCTGGCAGAAAGGTAAACGGCGTTTCCGTGCGCTGCTCTGGTTCGCCAGAAACGGCTTAGTCATGCTGGCCACATGACCCGGAAGCTGTACGCCGTCTCCCTCGGCCAATAAAGCGAGATGAGCGCTGCAACCCCAGAGTCGGCCACAACTGGACCAAATGGTCAGGGGTCCCTTTACCTTTAATGCACCATCAAATCTAACGTGCAGCTCACTTTTCAGAACCTTGAAACCAAAAAACCGTATTTGCTGTCAAATTTAAATGTGCTATTGACTCTAAAGTCCACTGTAATTTTTGCAATGTAATTCAGCCAAAAAAGGTGAGCATTAGATTTGAGTAAATACATTAAGTTCTTATGTGCAGTTTTCATTTTTTTTTTCCTTCTTCAGTTTCTAACCCTTACAGTCCCAAAGAATGTTAGCCAATGGCTATTGAAATCTTAGAAGCCAAAGAGGGTTTCTTTGCTGAATGAAATCTCCAACAGGGCAAGAATTCGCTTCTTTCATGTGTTTCGTGTCCGCTTTGTGTAGGATGATCATGGAGAAACAACACTTCTCGTCTACCCTGATGCCTGCAAGCTGGACATGAGCACAACAGCACTCTGCCCACTCTTCCCAGGAACTGGCATAATGCCTCCGACAGGGAAAACATAGACAACATGGCTAAGCTGCTGCTGATAGCCTTGCCCTCCATGAATTTGTCTAATCCTATTTTTAAAGCCATCTAAATTGATTCTCTGTGTCCACTGGCCATTCCACATCAATGGCACTGCCAACACCCCTGGGCCATGCCACACGTTCCTCCCCTCCCGGGTCCAGTTACCTCCAGCGTGGTGCTCCAAGCCAGCGTGTGCTCCCCACTATCCCACATGCAGAGCTGCCTGTCATGGGCGCACGTGACAAAAAGGTCCCGCGAAGGGTGAGTGCCCAGCCCCCACAGTTCGTCCGTGTGCCCCTGCAAAGGAAGAGCGTTGAGAAGCAGCTGGAGAAGGAAGGAGCAGCTGAGGAAGAGGCCCTGCGACCAGACCAGACCCACCCCTTTACCTGGATGATGGGTCGGAAGCCCTCCGCCAAGCTCCCCCGCAGCAGGGCATTGCGTGTGGTCCCTACCAGCAGCTCCCCTCCGTCACCCTCGGCGATGGTGCGGACGGCACCAAACTGTTCCGGAATCTGATTGCCAAAGAAGCAGCAGGCATTATAAAGCTGGTCTGTGTGTAAAGTTTGCTGGATTCACCCAAGGATGGATTAAAACCCTTTTTCAGTCTGAGGGCCGCATTTGCTTCTGGGCAACCTTCCGAGGGCCACATGCCCACTTGGAAATTCAATGCTTCAAGTTACTTTGCCTTATTTACTTTTGTTATTTATAAGGATTTATAGCAGGCTTCCTCAACCTTGGCACTCCAGATGTTTTTAGCCTACAACTCCCATGATCCCTAGCTAGCAGGACTAGTGATCAGGAATGATGGGAATTGTAGTCCCAAAACATCTGGAGGGCCAAGGTTGAGGAAGCCTGATTTCTAACAACTCATTTTTCTCTATCAGGGATGGGCTCGAAGCGAGTCAAACAAAACCAGAGGGAACCATCTGATGAGATTTTTAAAATTCATATGATTAAATCGGCAAATGTTTCTTTAATTGAACAACAAGCCTTAACCATAAGGTGTATCCTCCCTTCCGGGTGCAAACCTACAGTGAGGGGCAAAAGCAGTTAAGAGGCTAACCCCAGATCCCCAAGCACATTTTAGTAAAAGAAAAACCCACCCCAAAGACCCAACTGATTCTGGTGGCTGGGGCAAAAAGGTGGGAGAATGTTTGAAGTAGACTCAGGGCCGGGGTGAACAGAGCTCATTGCTTTGATGGGGATGCAAACAGCTTCTTCTTTAATCATCAGATCTGTCAGAAAGGATACTGTGTGTGTGTGTGTGTGTGTGTGTGTGTGTGTGTGTACCTCAGGCTGCAAGTGAAAATGTGTGAGGTGGCCACACCCATTTTTAGCCACCCCTGGCACGCAGCCCCCAAAGAGTTGGCCATGGGTGAATGTGGCCTTCTGGCCACATGAGTTTAGCCACCCCAAAGCTAAAGGATATGGTGGTTATTAACGTACGCCAAGCAATCTCCAAGAGCTGCGGTGCAGATCCATTCACCTCCCTTACCTCCACCTCCTGCAGCAGGGAGAGGCTGGGGCTCCACCGGACCAGGCGCCGGTCCTTGCCACCCCCACTGAGCACCGAGCCATCGCGGCACAGGCAGAGAGAGAAGATGCTGCCTTCGTGGGCTCGCGTTTGCTTGCTGATCTGGTATGTCTCTGTAAAGAGAGGTGAAAACACACCTGTGTCAAACCCTGGTTCAGTTTTGTATTCCTTTTTGGTGACACGACACGGGGATTAGTGCCAGGTTCTCCGTTCGCATGCCTCTCCACAGGAACATAGGGAGGTGCCCTATTGTACAGTCAGACCACTGGTCCATCTTGTTCGCCTCTCCATTGTACAGTGGTACCTTGGGTTACATACCCTTCAGGTTACATATGCTTCAGGTTACAGACTCCGCTAACCCAGAAATAGTGCTTCAGGTTAAGAACTTTGCTTCAGGATGAGAACAGAAATCGTGCTCCAGCGGTGCGGCAGCAGCAGGAGGCCCCATTAGCTAAAGTGGTGCTTCAGGTTAAGTACAGTTTCAGGTTAAGTACGGACCTCCGGAACGAATTAAGTATTTAAGCCGAGGTACCACTGTATATCTAAATCGTATAATTGGGGAGCATGCTTCAAACACCCTTTAAATGCCTGCTAGGCCGCTCTCTCTCCATTCCAGATTTTAAAATGCTGTACAGTGGTACCTCGGTTTTCGAGCGTCTCGGAAGCCAAACATTTCAGTTTTGAAAGCCAAAAACCTAGAAGTAAATGCTTGCCTTTTCGAACGCTTTTTGGAAGTCGAACGGCTTCCACTGCATTTCCCCCCCAATTTTATCCACTGACTTTGCAGACCACCCTTTGTGCCTCAATTGTCGAACGTTTCGGAAGTCGAATAGTCTTCTGGAACGGATTGCGTTCAACAACCGAAGTACCACTGTACCAAAAATATCCACAACTGGAATTGAAGCTCTGGGGCTGGCTGGAGACTGGAGGACACATGGAAAAGAGGTTGCTCCTGCTGCGCTACCTCACGCACCAGCTGTTAGGCGGGGCAGGTGAGTAGCCTAAACAAAGCCCCACTGAGCCTCCAGTCTCTTCTCCACCCTAACCGAAGTCCTCTTCTGGCTCCAGGAAGCATCTCTTTGCAAGTTACGAGGACTCTCCAGCTCTCTCCCTCCATTATTTCCCAGCACCACGCGTATACATGCAAGTCAACGGCGCACTAGTGGGGAGTCCCCTGTAATCGTTTCTAACCCTGTGTCAGTCCACATCCCATAGCATATGCAAATTGTATGCAAATCAGCATATGCCCTAGCAGACCATGGTCTGCTATTACCATTCCCCTTCGCATACCTTTCGCCCCCTTGCCCAGCGTGCGGATGTCAGCAGGCACCCTGGCCCAAGTCAGGATGTTGCCCTCCGAGTCTCCAGTCAGCACATCACTGTTGGTGTCGAACACAAAGCACTGGATGAACTTGGGTTTCTTGTATTTCTGGAAAGATCAGGAAGGGGAGATGCTGATACAACGATGGCGGGGAAGAACCGGACAAGGTTCATTCCCGTATCTCAAAGTTCCAGCAGGATGTTTATCAAAAAATATCTAAAATAATTAAATCGCCTCTTCAGGCTTCTCTATTAATGACAGCATGAAAGCTTATTTACTCTAAATAACTTTCAAAACACATGTAAGCTGCAGCCAGGATTTCAATACCCAGTACAGTAATGGAAAATTTCGGGGGGAGGGGGGAATCTCTTTGTCTTTGTAGTACAAGAACTGACGGAGTTTGGCTATTGCGGGGGGAAAATAAACACATAAATTTTGTGTCTTCAAAGGGATGGCGGATCCAGAATGCTTCTACCATCTGGTGGGATTTTATTTATTATGCTTTGGACTTAGATGCCAAACATTCACTGTCTGCAGTACTGGATTTAAAGGCAGTGTGTGCTGTCCCCTGTCTCCCCCACAGGGCGCCGAGCTGAGGGGGCACAAAATAATAATAAATAAAAAGCGTATTATTGTGAAAAGAAGAAATATTTAGGGAGAGGGCAGTGCCAAATTTTGTCCTCGCTCAAGGCGCCCTATTACCAAAGTCTGCTCCCGCCTCCCATGTCAGTTTGGGAAATATGTAGGCTTTGGTTTATACTGGTGTGTTACCATTTCTTTCTTTCTTTCCTTTTATTTGTATATGTTAACAATGTAATGCACTGCTACTGTGATTTTGGGTTGTTGAAAGAAAAAGAAGAGGAGGAAGAAGAAGCTGTTCAAGCAGGAACTTGCACTTGCAATTCTGCCCAGGGTAAAACACTGAAGTTAGCAAATGATAGCATAGTGATCTGGGAATCTGTGTGAGGAGTTGCATGGGGAGAAGAAAAGAGAAAGATTAACTTGGACAAACAACTAAAGTCAGGCAAGGCATGGAAACAATGAGAGACGTTTGAGTAGCGAACATCGACTGGGACAGAGTGAAATGTCAGCAGAGACATTGGTCATACCCACACCACACAGCCTGCCCCCTGCCAAGAATCCCAGGAACTGTAGTTTGCCCCTCACAGAGCTATAATTCCCAGCACCCTTAACAAATGACAGGTCCCAGGATTCTTTGAGGGAAGCCATGTGATTTAAATGTGAATTAAATATATAGCGTGGATATGACCATTAAGTTATCAAGACAGGGCTTAAGGCAGTTGGGGAAAACTCTGGTTGAAAAACGTAGCTAGCTAAAAAGGGTGCATCTGAGCATGTGCTGGGTGTTTTCTGCCACCACGTTTAGCACCCGTATTTTCACTGAGGAAGGAATTGGGGTTGACCATCTAAGGACTGGCATTCGGAAGCCTTCCCTCCCTACTTCTCCCACCCTGTTCTCTATTATTGAAGGCCCCCAACTTTACCAACGACCCCCCACCACAGACACACACACACACACACACACACACACACACACTGCAGCATTGCCTCACCCCAAAGATTCCCTGCTTCTTTGTTAGGCTGCTTCCACTCCAGGTCCAGAAATAGACATGAGATTTCCCAGTGGTGATTATGTTGCTGCTGTCTTGCGGGTTGAACTCCACCGTCAGGACAGATTCATTGGTACTCTGCAAGGTGCAATGGGGTGGATGGGTAGAGAGTGGAAGGAAGAAGGTATCAGGGTGATGTGGCCTCTCAGCACCACCAAAGATGCCCACAAGGATTATTCAAAGTGTTTTAAGTCTCCCAAAGTGCCTTAGTTGTGTGTGTAGGGAAGACCAAGCCTCCAGACAAGCAGATCACCACCTTATTGCTGCACCCCTGAAATGATCTGAAGGAAATGCACTTTTCACATTGCTGTTATTTTAATGGGATTGTTTCAATGTGTACTTGAATTATGGATGCTTATATTTTTATAACTGGCTTTTAAGCTTTGTAAATCACTTCGAAGCTTATTTTGGCATTAAGCAGTAAATTAATAATAATAATAATAATAATAATAATAATAATAATAATAATGGTGGTGGTGACGATTATGATGATGGAGATGATGTTATGAGGAGCCACCACCCAAAATTATTATCATTTTATTTTTTTCTTTAGGTGGTGTCTCTGCCTCTGTGGAATGACCTCCTTGCTAAGCTGCATATTACCCTGACTCTTTCATATGCCAGCTAAAACCCTAACATTTTTGCTGGGCCTGCATGGTGTTTTTAACTATGCTATTTATACAATTAGAATTATTTTAATGCTTTTGTTTCTTATGTATTATGATTATCCTTTGGGGGGAGTAAGCTGCCGTTTGACAAAAACGCTTGCACTGGTGTAACAATTGTAATAGTGCAAAGTCAAATTCCACCCACCGTGTTTAAATCAGATGAGACAGCAAAGCCAGGCCTCTCCACACAGACAAGAGAGAGGGTCTTCTGGCTCCCCAGTTGTGGAAGCTCTTCACAGTAAAGCCCACCTGGTGCCTTTGCTGACACCTTTTCAACACCAAGTGACTACTCTTGATAGACCGCAATGAGGCTGTTTGCTGTTACTCAGACTGTCAAACCTTCTACTGCTGCTTTTGGGGGTTGCCTTGCATATATTTTTTATGAACTGAATGTATTTTTGTGTGCATGTGTTCTTATTACCATGTAAGTGGTACCTCGGGTTACGTACTTAATTCATTCTGGAGGTCCGTTCTTAACCTGAAACTGTTCTTAACCTGAAGCACCACTTCAGCTAATGGGGCCTCCCGCTGCTGCCGCACCGCTGGAGCACAATTTCTCATCCTGAAGCAAAGTTCTTAACCTGAAGCACTATTTCTGGGTTAGCAGAGTCTGTAACCTGAAGCGTATGTAACCCGAGGTAGTGTTACATTTGCTTCAGGTTACATACGCTTCTGGTCACAGACTCCGCTAACCCAGAAATAGTACCTTGGGTTAAGAACTTTGCTTCAGGATGAGAACAGAAATCGTGCAGCGGCGGTGTGGCGGCAGCGGGAGGCCCCATTAGCTAAAGTGGTGCTTCAGGTTAAGAACAGTTTCAGGTTAAGAATGGACCTCCAGAACGAATTAAGTACGTAACCAGAGGTACCACTGTATTATTATTTTTTAACTTATCTTTATGCTTTTTAAAAATGTTGTGAGTTGCTTGGAGATCTTTTTGTGTAACAGGCAACAAACAAGTTCAAATAACCACCACCACCACAGTACTCACCTTGATTTCCGCCTGCTTGGTACCACGAGCACAATCCCAGACAGACAGCATGTGCTCGTTGGACTCGTCTATCACACATAAGTATGCCCCCTCATCCTGGAGGGAGATAGGAACACAGGAAGCTGCTTTACAGAGAGTTGGTACAATATTGTCTACACTGATGGCAACAGCTCTCCAAAGGTCTCAGGCAGAGAGTCTTTCTCAGCCCTAACTAGAGATGCCAGGGATTGAACCTGGGACCTTCTGCATGCCAAGGGGATGCTCTACCACAGAGGTTCCCCAGCTGTGATCTGGGGACCACCAGTGGTCCATGAGCTTCATTCAATGGAGGGAGAACATAGCCATTGTAGGTAGTAGCATCCTACATGATGGGCCCTATGATCACAACACAAGGTTCCATTATGGCAAGCAGAGGCAAACTCGGCCCTCCAGATGTTTTGGGACTACAACTCCCATCATCCCTAGCTAACAGGACCAGTGGTCAGGGATGATGGGAATTGTAGTCTCAAAACAGCCAGAGGGCCGTGTTTGCCTATGCCTGCATTATTTTGTGAAGCAGTTAGCTCACTGCTTGCTCAGGGACCTATGGGGTTAACTTATCAAACTTAAAAGTGGAATATATACATAATTTTAAAATGATATATAAGGATCAGCACTCAAGAGAATGCATGTATAATAGTGCATATAATAGTGTGGGATAACCAGTCTCATATAACCAACATGCTTAAGTCTAATGAATGCGTGAAGTAAGTTGTCCTGCCAGGCTTAGCTACATCTACTTACATTGGGGGGAAATAGGTGATCAGGCCTATTGTCCTCCCCTAGTCTACCTGAGAAGCTCAGTGTGTAAATTGGTTTGAAATGATTGCTCCAACTCAGACCGCATGGCTGTCACAAGCCAGTCTTGACTTCCTATACCAATAATTTAGGAATGTTCACCATTTTGTAAATAAGCTAAGTCTGTGCTCTGAAACACATGAACCTGACCTTTGAAGCGTTCATAAGTAAACCCATTTTTAACTTACCAAACATGTGGGATTTTTTCTGTGCTTAGGGAAGTGTAAGACTTTGGAAATAAACTTCTAAAGGGACATTCTGGAACTCACTTTAAAGGGCACATATTTTAAAGGTCTAACAGCCTGTATTTCCACAATTTGCTGCAAATTTTGTGGTTTTAAACCTCTCTTGGGGTCCTCTCACCAAAGAGTACTTGCCCCAAATCTTGTCATCCAGAAATTCTCCTTTTTATATACCTATTTTTTCCTTGAACCAACGTATAGCATGGAGAAGTTGTAACACTCACAGCCGTGGAGAAAGCAAGGGAACCAACTCCTCTCTCAAAGCTGCCCTGACCAATTTCTAGCAGGGTGTTAAGGTTGGACGAGTCCCAGATGTGAACGGAGGGTTGCAGAGGCTGTAAGGAGAGTGGAAGAGAAATAAGAAAGGTCAGCTTCCTTATGTAACGAGGTAGAGCAAAAAGAGGTAGAGATCAAAACAAGCCAGTACTCCATATAGAAAGCACATTGCTAGTTTGCTAGTAGCAGAATATTAATTCAAATGGACTATCTGTCTATCACAGAGTAATTAATTTTAAAATGTTATTTTTTAATAACACGAATATCTTCCTTTCCTCAAGTAACTCACACCTGCTTGGTTTTTGATTTGTGCGCGCGCACACACTTTATTAATGGGTTCCATTTGTTACTCACACCTCATAACGCTTTGTTTGCTGATTGAATACAAGTGCATTACTTGTACTTTCGCTGCTGTCAGTAGCCAGACCAATAGAAGATTTTGCCATTTAAGCGCATTCTGTTTTGATAGGTTATTGAATTCCATCTTTAGTGTCTGTGTAACCAGGCAGTGGGGCAGTTAGGTAATTTTAGATTCTGGACTTAGCGTGGTCTGATTGGGAGGCAGGAAGAGATGTTTTTCAACCCTGCATCCCCCAAAAGTTTGTTTACAAAAATATTTATACACCACTGTATCATAACGCTGTATCTCAGCGGTTTACAGCAATGTAAAAACGTAAAACCAAACAATGAAATCATAACAAGCTAAGAACAAGTTAAAAGCACAAAGAAATTAAAAGCAAGTTGTTGAACTACAGCTCCTCTCATCCCATAATCCCTGCATAATCCAGCAACATCTGTGTGCCAAGGTTGAAGAACACTGGTTTGGACAGCATTTTGCATTACTTCAAAATGTGAAAGGCCACCAGCCCTATTGTGTTTGGGAGCACTCTGGCTCATTTTACTGAGTGGAGCCCTAAACCTTTCTGTCCCAAAGTCTGAAATCTGATGGCACCACTGCAGCCAATTAATCTTATCTCCAGACAAAAAGCTTGTAAGCCATGCAGCTGAAATGAGGGGGGAAATCACGGCCTTGGGTCCCTCCCAGATCTAGGGGTTTACCTTGCCATCCTTGTCCACACCAGCCATCTGCCCCGAAGCAACACGGACTTTGTCAGGATGCACTGCTAGGCTGGAGAAAGAACAGAATCACAAGAGGAAAGGGCCCGATCCACCATCTGCTCCCAAGCTCAAAGTCACCTAACCCCATCGCTCCAGAGAAGGTGAAAACCGCTTTGCTCAATCAGATTCTCCGCCCTCACCCTCCATGGACCAAAGCAACGCCAAAATTCAGCGTTTCCCCACCACCACCACCACTTGCCTTTTGTTCTAAGTGATCTTTGCGGTGCCCCCTGCACCGCCCTCTTGGTTCAGCACCCAGTGCAGGCGAACCAGTCACACTCCCCTAAATCTGCCTCTGCTGGATGATTTCAGTGAATGGGGTGCTGCCCTACCAACCTCAGCCTGCTCTCAGCCACTGAGCCCCACACATTTGCCTGCCTACTTACTTACAACCAGGCCAGTGGGTAGCCGCACCTGTTGGCTTCTCCCTCCTCCTGTCTCAGTGATGCAGGGAGGAAGATGGCTGGCTCTGCCTGTCATTGACTCTGTCCCTGCATGTCATTTCCTTTGGCAAATAGCGGTCTACCAGTCCCACTGGACGCCAGCCGCCACTGGTGAGACTAGGTTTCTGTAGTGGAGTGCCTATTTCATGCATCATGGGAGAGTGAGCACAACTATTTGTCTGTATGTTTCCTGCACCTGTCCCTGTGTTGTGGGTGTAAGGTAAAGGTAAAGGGACCCCTGACCATTAGGTCCAGTCGTGGCCGACTCTGGGGTTGCGGCGCTCATCTCACTTTACTGGGCGAGGGAGCTGGCGTACAGCTTCCGGGTCATGTGGCCAGCATGACTAAGCTGCTGCTGGTGAACCAGAGCAGCGCACGGAAACGCCGTTTACCTTCCTGCCGGAGCGGTACCTATTTATCTGCTTGCACTTTGACGTGCTTTCGAACTGCTAGGTTGGCAGGAGCAGGGACCGAGCAATGGGAGCTCACCCTGTCGCGGGGATTCGAACCGCTGACCTTCTGATTGGCAAGTCCTAGGCTCTGTGGTTTAACCCACAGCGCCACCTGCGTCCCTCATGTTGTGGGTGTACATACAGGTAATATACACAGGAGTATTGGAGCCAGTTGCGGGTCTGGGAAATGGCTCCCGCAACTCACCAGCGCACGCAGTCAGTGTGCCGCAGGTAGTGGCGTTGTGTGCGATGTTGCACGTGATACAGCACAACCACGCAGGCAATGAAGTAGACCAGCTCTCCTGAAGTCAACACGTAGAGGTTGGAGCGGCAGTCGCGGCCCCGGTACCCATATCTGGGATGGGCGTCAAGGAGCAAAGAACCGACACAAATGCAAAACGGGGAGGACAAGGGAGACACACCTGCCTGCTCTCTGTGTCACTGGGCACTCAAGCGATGGCTCTGTCATCTTTTGTGATAACACCCCTGTGAGGGAGCCCACTATTTCAGGGGCCCAAATGGTGGGACTCAAACCAGGGAGAACTGGGTGCTAGTCCCTCCTCAGTTGCAAAGCTCAATGGGTGACTTTGGACCGGTTTGCTTAACTCTCAACCCAACCTACCTTACAGGGTTGTTGTGTGGGTAAAAGTGTGGGATCTGTGTATGCCACCCTGAGCTTCTTGGAGGAAGGCTGGGATAATGATAATAATAATACAAACAAACATAGGAAGCTGCCTAATCCCATCAGACCATTGGTCTATATAGCTCAGTGTTGTCTACATTGACTGGCAGCAGATTTCCAAGGTTTCAGGCAGGAAGTTTTCCCCCCAGCTCTACCTTGAGATGCTGAGGATTGAACCTGGGACCTTCTCCATGCAAAGCAGATTTCTATCACTGATCTGCAGTTCTTTCCCTCAACCTAGTCAACAAAAAACATAGAAGGTAGAAGCTAAGTGTAAATTTAAATAATAACCCTCCTCCTATGCCCTAGATCTGCATGCTTTGATTCAGAGATAGCCAACCTCATGTCCTCCACACATTGTGGACTACAACTCCCATCATCCTTGACCATTGGCCATGCTGGCTGGGGCTGATGGGAAATGGAGTCCAAAAAAACCCCGGGAAGGCGCCATGTTGGCTACCTTTGGTTTATAGGGCACAGTCAGTGCTCCTCATAGGCACTCTTCCAGGTGCCACTGCCATGTGGGGTAAGGCATAAAACACAGAGAGAAAGAGGGGGGAGATGAGTGTTATCTGTCCATTTCTATTCCTCTCAGTCTATTCTTCTCAGTCTCTCATTTTCTCATTACCCAGCCTGCTGCCCTCCAGATATCATGAACTACAACTCCCATCACTGATCATTGGCCATGCTGGCTGAGGCTCATGGGAAATGGAGTCCAACAACACCCAAAGGGCACCAGGTTGGCTACCCCTCCCTGAGTGGGTTTCACCGGGGAAACAGTGTTATTCTGTGGTGGCTACTGTGCTTTAGGAAAGGCTGGGGTGGGAGGGCGGCGGAACAAGGAAGGAGGCCTCCTTCTTCCTGAAAGGATACACCCAGTCCAGCTTCAGCTTCTCGGTCGGCAGCTCCATGCGAAGCTCCTCGTAGTTGAGGAAGTCGGAAGGGATGTACATGGTGATGGGGCGGCCACGCAGGAACATCTTTGTGGAACGTCCTTCTAAAGGGACAGAAAAAACAGAAGGAGGGAACAGGTGGGCATCAGCACCTGCAGCACAACAAATGCCAAACCCACCTTGGCCCAAGAAGTTAATCTGCATGTCTTCTGCTATGGAGGTCCTGCCCCTCAAACGACCAAGCATCACCCACTTTTCAGGACTCCTGATGCAACCAGGAGAATCAAGTGATAAAACTTCGCCTGGGCTCCTATCTTAAGAATGAAGAACCTCAGGCCTAGGGGTCAAACACAACCCACACCCCCAGACCTCTCTATCCAGCCCTCCCTCAACACTCTTAACAAAACTACAGCTCCCAGGATTCTTTGGAGGATGTCATTACTGTTTAAAGTGCTGTCAAGAGTGCCTTAAATGTATGGTGTGGGTGTGGCCTAACTCCACCACAGGCACCACCAGGTGTTCTCTCTTCCATTACGAAGAGCCTGCTGACCCGTCCAGTCTAACATCCCGTTCTCACAGCAGCCAGCTATATATTTCTATGGGAAGCCTGCAAGCAGGACCTGAGCACAACAGCACTCTCCCCTCCTGCAGTTTCCAGAAACCACTACAGTCGAACAGAATCTGTTCCAGAAGTCCATTCAACTTCCAAAATGTTCAGAAACCAAGGAAGTCATGCCGGATATTTGGGTTCCAAAGAACGTTCGAAAACCGGAACAATCACTTCCAGGTTTGCGGCATTCGGGCGCCAAAACGTTCGACTCACAAGTCGTTCGTCAACCAAGGTACGACTGTATTCATAACTTGTTGGAGGAAAAGGCCATCAGTGACTACTAGCCATGATGGTAGCAAAGCTTCTGGATACCAGTTGTGGAAGCTACAGGAAGGGAGAGTCCTCTTGTGTTTGGGTTGTGTTGGAGGGTTTCCCAGAGTTGTCTTGGCAGCCACTATGAGAACAGGATGCTGGACTAGATGGGCCATTGGCAGGGTTATTTTTACGTTCTTAGAAGCATACCCCCTCCAACAGTTAGCCTTTGTAGCCCTATCCTCTGCATTTTGCCTAATTGCATTTTAAAGTCATCCAATCTGGTGACCATCTCTACTTCTTGAGGGACAAACTCCCATTTGCGCTGTGTGAAGGAGGACTTCCTTTTATCTGTCCTGAACCTTCCAACCTTCAGCTTCATAAGACGTCCCCAAGTTCTGGTGTTAAGATAAAGGTAAAGGTACCCCTGCCGTACGGGCTAGTCTTGCCAGACTCTAGGGTTGTGCGCCCATCTCACTCTATAGGCCGTGGGCCAGCGCTGTCCGGAGACACTTCCGGGTCACGTGGCCAGCGTGACATCGCTGCTCTGGCGAGCCAGAGCCGCACACGGAAACGCCGTTTACCTTCCCGCTTGTAAGCGGTCCCTATTTATCTACTTGCACCCGGGGGTGCTTTCGAACTGCTAGGTTGGCAGGCGCTGGGACCGAACGACGGGAGCGCACCCCGCCGCGGGGATTCGAACCGCCGACCTTTCGATCGGCAAGCCCTAGGCGCTGAGGCTTTTACCCACAGCGCCACCCGCGTCCCGGTGTTAAGATAGAGGGAGAAAAACTCCTGCCTGCTTTCTTCTCCCAAACCCTCCAATGCAACCGTTTCCGAAGCCTCACCTTGGTGCATCCGTCGAGCGCTCAGTGGCCCTATGCAGAGGGAGAGGAAGGAAGCATTAGGCATTTGTAGGAAAAAAGAAGGGGCTGCATCTTTGCCTGGAGCAGCCTTCACCAACCTGGTGCCCTCCAGAGGTTTTGGACTACAACTCCAACCCACCAAACAGCTTTATTGTCCCCTTCACTATCCTTGACTTTGAGAGCTCACCTGGACTTAAGGAAGGATCCTTTGTTCGGCTGCAAAGAGAAAACAGAACATTAAAGGGGCCGGTCAGGGTATATGTGTATGGTAGGTAACTTAGAAGGAAATAAACTATGGGATAACCAGGGCTTTTTTTTCAGCTGGAACTGAGTTCCAGCACCTCTCCGGTGGGCACCATTGCCATTCTAAGAGAACAAGAGAGGTGTTCATGGTGAGTTCTAGCACCCCTTTTTCTAGAAAAATAGCACTGGGAAGAACACTACCTCTGAGCATGCACACAATACCCTATTACCCCCCATAGAGCAAACATAACCAAATCCCACGTGGCACTATATGGTGTGTGTCTATGTTTATGTGTATTTGGGTGTGCTGTAGATAACAGATTAGCTAACATGCTGCTCTCTGGATATTTTGGACTACATCTCCCAATTATCCCCAATCAATGACTATGCAGGCTGATGTGAGTTGGAAACCAAAACACCCAGAGGGCACCATGTTGGCTATCCCTGGCTTATAAGGAGCAGCCAGATTCACCAGAGATCATCTTCAGTAATACTCCTCCAGGTGCCCTGCAGTGTTGGTTAAGGTGGACAGCAACCAGCAAGAGAGACAGAGTGCAAATCTGTCCATTCCCATTTCTCTCAGCATCTCATTTTTTCCCAATCTGAAATTCAGTTCCCCACAATTACATTTGCATTTTTAAAAAATCTTCCTGCAAATTCATCAGCATTTTAGTGCAAACATCTCCCAATACCTATTCCCCGTAATACAATGATATTTTTTTTGTACTTTATTTTCACTAATATATGCATTTCTATGCACACATCCTGCATTTCTATACAAATTACTGGGCTGGAGAACTGCATTGCAAAGTCTGGAGAAATTCAGATTTCAAAAGATAGCTGTGTTTTGGTTCATACCTTGTTTTGGAAAATGCAAATCAACTGGGTTTGCCTTTAACTGTGGATTGACTCAAATCCCCCCCCCCAGTGGGAGACAGAGTCTTTTTGGTGTTGGTGCTGTGTTTGTGGAATTCCCTCTCCAGAAAAGCCCACCTGCACCATGGTTATATTTCTTGCACCAGGCAAATATTTTAAAATGTATTCCCTCCCCCCTCTCCTTTAAGATATTGAAGTTATACCGTATTTTATTAGTGTATTTTTTCTTTTTTGCAGACTGCCCCTGGGCATCTCCAAATAAATAAACAATCCAGAGTGCAACCTTGGGGTGGTACTGTGCTTTTGAACACGCACAGAGTGCATGCTCCCCCACCCTCAGGGCAAATACAACCAAATGCCACTCATGTCTCTAAATCAGAAAAACTGGGGTGATACATGGTATGTGCCTGTGTGCGCCTCACTTCTCAAAGCTGCTGGAGTGGTTGAAGAGGTTGGCTGAGGACGCTGCCTTCTTGGAGAGGCGCTGCTTGGTTTTGGAGGGTTTGTCGGAGGAGCTGTTTCTCCGCAGTCTGGAAAAGAAAGAAAGGGGGAATAGGTAAGGTGCCGAACTACGATGTTGTATCCAACGTTAGTCCTATAGGGCTAGACTGTCGCTACTTTCAGGTGGGATTCAAGAACATGTAGGCAAATTCAGGACATGCAAATAGAACTGACTTGGAGCTCTTGCACAACAAATTCACTTCCCTGAAAGATCAGACTTTTTGCAATAAGAAAAGTGACAGGGAAATGCACTGGGAAGGGTGGGATGAAACGTTCCCTCGTGCAACATGATTGGTGCTCCCCACAAATAAATCAGAGTGGAATGTTCATCAAATAGCCAATTTTGTCCAATCTCCCTGCAAACAAATCGGAAAGAATCCTCAATAAACAGGTCAGCTGGAAGCACCTCTGCTCCAGGTAGGCCCATTGATATTAACAGACAAAACCTAACTCAGGTCCATTAATTTTAGTGGGTCTACTTAGAGTGCATTCGTTCTACCTCCACTGTCAGAGCTAGTAGAGCTTTGAACACCATCTGCTGGGAATCACAAGTTTGTAGCGTTGTCCTTGCGCTCATGCCCTGCATGTGGGCTTCCCCTTGTGCAAACAGGATGCTGGACTAGATGGGTCTCTGGCCTGATCCAGCGGGCAGGCTCTTCTTACATTCTTATGGATGCAACTCAATCATTGTTTTTGTAGACCACTCAGAGGTTTGCTTACAATCCAGTGGAACAGAAATTGTGTTAAATAAAATAAATAAGTAACAGAGATGCATTCCGCAGTCAAAAACTCCCCTGTTGTCCTTTGCCTGCAAGAGCGGAAGTTGTTTATGTTGTGAGTCTATTTTGCACCCACAGATATTGGCTGATTTGCTTCTCCTCAGGGTGCTTTAGGCCACTGAGAGGGAGCAACCCTGGTCATCCCCTTCTTCTAAGGAGAAGTGGCAGTGGCAGCAGAAGACAGGCTCTTTCTTCTGAGGAAGAGCTCTTCACAGCCAGAAGAAGAAGAAGAAGAAGAAGAAGAAGAAGAAGAAGAAGAAGAAGAAGAAGCAGAAGCAGCAGCTGCCTCCTTTGGCCTTGTGGTGTGGGGGCAACGCTCTGCCCACAGCTGCAAATAGAGCCTGGTTTTTACCAAACCTTCAATTCAGCCAAGAGAGAAAGGGGCGGGCTCCTCTGAGCAAGCAGGAAAAGAAGCTCCGAATGGTAGAGGGGGAGAGAAAGGGTGAATCACAGGACAATAAGTGACCCAGAGACAGGGCCGACCTGAGACATTTCGCTGCCTGAGGTGAATGTGTGCATCCCCAAGTCAACACACACCAGACCCAAGGTTGGTCACGCAATTTTGGCATCTGAGGCAGAAAATCTCACAAACGACTCTCCTCTTCTCTGACAGGAAATATGGAGCAATAAATAAATAACTGGCTCCCATTTTGTTTCCTTCATGATACCCAAAATCAACTGCCTGAGATGGCTGTCTATGGACAGCGCCAGCCCCAGTGTTTCCCTTTCTCCTAAATCAGGAACCTCCAGCTTGTGGGCCAGATTTGGCCCGCCAGCCCTCCTGATTTGGGCCATGAGGAAGCTTTCCCCAACCACGTCCAGCTGGTGTCAGGCGTGGAGCAGGAGAGATTTGGCTGGAGAGCAGGAGAGAACCACGTTATCAGCTGGTGAATGGGAAGTTCAATCCTGAGTGGTCTCCATTTCCCCCCAATCCCGTGGGTCAACTTTGGCAGGTGGGTGGGGCAACCCACCTGTCTGTCATCTGCTGTCAGTTAGGATGTCAGATGATTGACATGTGGGGTGGTCCCGCCCACCTGCTAAAGTTGTCCTGTGGGGTGGGGAGAGGTAAAGATCTGTCCCACTGGGCCACAAACGTTCCCAGCCAATGTCCTAAATCCATCCGGTAGGTTAATCAGTTTTCAACAGATGTGCAGGAAGCTACAGGATGATCGCATCCTGACCCTAAGTGAGTCACACACTGGGGTGGAGCATATGTTCACATATGTTCAATGTACTGAATCCAACTAAACAGGCAGCTGGATCTTCAACAGCAGCAATGGGGCAACATCCTCTGCCATACCTGAGGGCACCAAGCTAGGGAGCTCAGGGAGAAAGACGTAGATCACTGCTGTCACCCCTGGTATCTGGAACATAGGAATCCACCTCATATCAAGTCAGACCATTGGTCCATCTTGCTCTGCCTACACTATCTGGCAGAGACTCTTCAGGATATGTCAATTGAATTAAAAAACATGTACAAAAGGAGGCAAATAAATGAATCAGATCATGCAAGGGGAGAAGGGAGCACACAGTCTCTTCACATAATATCAAGCCATGGGTGGGTCTTTCCCTGCACCCAGAATCAGACAGAAAACCTAGGAATCCTGGCTCTCTGCTCCAACCTACTAAACTAAACCTCATCTCTGCCCAGCCTTAAACCCAGGCATATGCATATGGGAAGCTATGGTCTCTGGCAGATAGACTCCATGTCTTAAACAACCTTTTTTCTCTTGGATCTGGGAATAGGACTCTGGAGTTTTGCTGATTTTTATTCATTTTTAAACACCCACAAGACTAAATCCAGAGCAATGATAACCTTATGAAACACTCGCCCCTCTTTCTGTTTCTCTCCCAGAAGAATCCAGCCCAGTTCCCTCAGCCTTCAAACTCACAGCTCCTTCTTGCTGGACATCAAACTCTGCACAGCTGGGACCGGTGAGGCAGGGGTGCTGCTGCTGCTGTTGCTGCTCCCCACTTCCAAGGGAGGCTCAGGGGATGCTGGGAGCTGACCCAGCGACTGAGCTGGGGGTTGGGACTGCCCCACGCCGGAGACTTTGTCTCTGCTGTCTTCAAGGGGAGGCTCCCCGACGTCTTGAGTTTCGTGGGGGCAAGTCCTAGGAAGGTGGCAACCAGTGCCTGGAGCCTGGGGTTCCTCCTGAACCTTTTGCTTTTCCTGAACATTTTGCAACTCCAAGGCAAATCCTGGGTCTCCTCCTCCCTCGGCCTGCAACCCAAAGGAGTTCTTAACGGGCTCCAGAGGGCCTCCCACTGACTAAGCCCTCTGTGAAGCCTGTCTGTCCAAGGGTGGAAGGGGCTTGGTCTGTCTGTCCTTGAACCACCGAACTCTCCGTCTGCTTAAGATGCCCATTGCTTAGGTACTGGCTCTGCTTTGCCTCCAGCATGGAGGACTCCTCTGTTTGCGTCCCGACGCTGACCCTTGGTGAGGCTCTTTCAGCTGAAGGCACTGACTCCCTGTAGCCTCCAGGTTGCTGCACAATAGTGGACCTGCAAACCAAAACACAACGTGAGTTGTGGGGTGCCAGCTTGTTTCAGTCACCCTTTAAAAAGTCAACATATCAGATGTGTTTCAGAAAGCCAAGCTTTCCTCCCAGATGATGGAGTTATTATGCAATTACTGTGCGGTAACAGAGCCACTGGTGGTGTAGTGGTTAGGGTGCTGGGCTAGGACCTGGGAGACCAGGGTTCAAATCCCGTCTTGGCCATGAAGCTCTCACTGGGTGATCTTGAACCAGTCCCTGCCTCTCAGCCTAACCAACCTCAAAGAATTGTTGTGAGAATAAAATGGGATGGGGAAGAGAGTTCCTTGGAGGAAAGTTGGGATATGAATGTAATAACAAATCAATAAAGTGAGCAGTAAGTGCAAGAAAACACTTCTGTTTGGAGGGGGGGAGAATGGTGTTATATTCTCTGTGACTAAATTCTGCAGCTTGTGATGCTGAGAAAACAATAGAATTTCCCTCAAACAGAAGTAGTAGTTGTTGTTGTTATTTAAATTTGTGAATCACTTTATCTTGCCCAAGGGAACCCAAAGCAACTTACAACCAAACAACATACTTAGTTAGCTACTCCATCACACAGTTCTACAAACAGTCATAAATTGACACAGCTCACAGTCAAATTCTTCTGGGTTTTTTTTTTTAATCATTGAGTTTATATTTCCTTGGATACATATTTTAAATCCATTTAATTCGTACTGTATATTGATTGTTAAATTCCACTTTGTCCGTTTTAATGTTTATGAAAAAATTATGCTGAAATTCTGGTTTTACTATTAGTCATAATAATAAACATCCATTCATTCACTCCACCACACTTAGTTAACCACTATACAGCACTTCCTCTCCTTTTACTTCCACACTCTCAGGTATAGTACGCAGAGCTAGAGCCAATGGCAGTTGGAGTCAACTAATCCTCCTTCCTGCCGAGTTATACAATGAGTAACACTGAGACTGAGGAGGAGGAAACAGGCAGGGCCACCTTTCTAGGCTGGTTATCAATAAGATGGCAGGCAGGTGGGAGCTGGCTGAGGGCTGGAAGGCCCTAACAGACCAGCCTCCATGGTTTGGGAGTGAGCTGCAGATGGTCCCATAAGCACAGTATTTTCTGGGGCCTCAATTCCCCCCCCCCCAAAGATCCCTTGGCAAGTACCTGAAAGAATCATTGGAGAAAGCAGCAGGCAGGCTCCAGAAGGCACCATTGTCTTGTGGAAGGAGTGCAGGATCTTTGGTATCTGACAGACCGGAATTTGCTGCAGTGAAAAAGGAATTTGAATTAAAGCAACCATTCCCATGAAGCAATCTGATGGCTGTAAGCAACCTGCCATGTGAGGATGGGGTCTGATTTTCACATGAAGCGGGGATTTCCACCTCCACTTTACCCCCCTGCTCACCCAGGCACTTTTCTCCATTACCCCAGGCACTTCTCACTCTCCATGGCTCACTTCTGGTGTCTGACCTGAGATGAAGAGAATACCGTATTTTTCGTTCTTTAAGACGCACCAGACCACAAGACGCACCTAGCTTTTGGAGGAGCAAAACAAGAAAAAAAAATATTCTGAATCTCAGAAGCCAGAACAGCAAGAGGGATCGCTGCGCACTGAAAGCAGCAACCCCTCTTGCTGTTCTGGCTTCTGGGATAGCTGCGCAGCCTGCATTCGCTCCATAAGCCGCACACACATTTCCCCTTACTTTTTAGGAGGGAAAAAGTGAGTCTTATAGAGCAAAAAATACGGTAATTTTGTGTGCCTAACAGCAGGGAGGTACAGTTAGGAAGGTTCACCTCCCCTCACCTGTATATATGCACCTTTCTTCTGATTAAAAGCTACCATCTGCTTTGAGGGTCTTTCCTTTTTTTTTAACAATCAAGCAGTATATACATTTTTATGAAACAAACCAACAAATAGATAGCTGCCCATCTATTGGGACTCTTGACACCCTCACCTTCAAGCAGCTGTTGCCTGAGCAGAGGGATCTGCTGGTCGTAGAAGCTGAGCCTCCGCAACGCGTCTGCCAACGCCGACTTCACCACCGTCAGCTCCTCCTCTTGGCTCCGCAGTCGGGAATCGAGGTCAGTGAGCCAGGCCGGGTGGCGCAGGATAGTGTTGCTACCCAGGAGGTTCTCACCTGCCAAAGGAGGGAGCTGCAATTAGATTTGAGAACCCGTGCTTTTAAAATGCAGGAGGGCAGGTTAAGGGGAACCTTTGGCCCTCTGGATGTTGCTGAACTACAATGCCCATCATCCCAGAGCACTGGCCATGCTTGCTGGGGCTGATGGGAGCTGTAGTTCAGCAACATCTGGAGGGCCAAATGTTCCCCACACCCGTAAGAGGGTTAGGCCACATTAACCTCATCTATAATTGGGGATGTATCTAATAATGTACAGTGGTAACCTCAGGTTAAGTATTTAATTTGCTCCGGAGATCCATTCTTAACCTGAAACTGTTCTTAACCTGAAGCACCACTTTAGCTAATGGGGCCTCCTGCTGCCGCCGCACCGCCGGAGCACGATTTCTGTTCTCATCCTGAAGCAAAGTTCTTAACCTGAGGTCACTATTTGCTGGGTTAAGTCGAAGGTATGTAACCTGAAGCGTATGTAACCCGAGGTACCACTGTACTGGGGAAGAGCTGTAGCTCAGTGGGAAAGCATCTGCTTTGTATGCAGAAGGTGCCAGGTTCAAATTCTGGCATCTCTAAGCCGGGCTGGGAATGTCCCCTGCCTGAAACCCCGGAGACCCACTACCAGTCAGTGTTGGCAGTACTGAACTAGATGGACCAAACAGCCTGAGCCAGAGTTTACCCATGTTCCTAAGGTATCATAAGCATTGCCTTGCTAGAAACTAGACCAACCTCTACTTTTGCATGCCATTTCCAAAACAACAACTAGACAGATGCACTTGGAAAGAAGGAAGGTTGCCCCTTTCCCCCATTGCTTGTCCTCAGCACCTGTTATGTAGGGGCATACTGCCTATGTCTGAAGGGGTCCCATGTGGGCTAGCCACTTTTAGATGAATGCTGCATGGATTTATTTTGTATTTCTTAAAGTTAATTCTGCATTGCGCCAAAGAAAGGCTTTTAAAAAAAACCAAAAACAAGTCTGTCCTGAACCTAGTGCCAAACCAGTTCCTCCAACTTCAGACTGTAACGTCCTCAGGGCAGAGAGCTGTTTACATTACTATAAAAAACAAACACCAGGTACATTGGCAGCCCTACATCAGGAATATGGAAGGTTTTTGACCCTGAAGAGCCACATTCCCTCCTGGGCAACCAAATGCCAGTGGCGGGCGAGGTCTGAGGCAAAAGTGGGTGCAATAGTGAATGTAAAATTTCCCTTTGTACACTAGGCCAGTTTCCACACACCACCCACCCTCAATCCTCAATCTAGAGAAGCCTGAGGCATTATCAGAGTTCAAGGATACATTCCAGCCAGGGGGAAAAACTTCAAGAAGGTTGTGAAGCAGAGCCGGTGAGGGCTGTGGAGAGGTAGCCTGGCCGGGGAGAGTTTAGAGGGCCATGTGGAGAGGTCTGAAGGGCCACTTTCAGGCCCCAGATTCCCCTCTCCTACATAGAGCACAATAATAGCAACATGCCCCCACATGGAAAAAAAACCCTAGGAGCAGCTTTTCTGTTTCAGCGCTGGAGATTGCAGCGTTCCTCCGAGCGATGACTTTTGTGTAGCTCCAGAGTCCATGTGTTCCTATCCCAAGAAGAACTGGCCCTTATTTGCTGCATTTAAACACACGCATGTTTTGCCAGAAGCCACAATGGTCACAAGTGTCTATAATTAACACAGCAGGGGGAGATGGTTAAGGTTTCCCGCACAAGGCCCGTCCTGGGGTGCCACAGTTCACGGAGGGAGGGAGGCAGAGGAGAGGAGAGGCCTGCTTGGTTCAAGCTAGGTCCTCTGGCCCACATTGTGCAGGCAGCAAGCCCAGTTCTTGCCTCATGCCCAGCCAGCCTTGTTTGTGCTGGCAGCGGAGGACAGTGGCAGTTGGGAGGAAACGACTCCCGCCTTAGACATTCCTGACGCCACCGTCAACTGCACAACATGGGCCCCCTGCCCCCCTGGGTGCTCTAAGGATGTGTGGGAGACGCAGAGGACCAAGGGTGTCGAGATGGCTTAACCCTTTACTACCCTTTCCCCATAACCTATAAGAGGGTGGCTGGAGCAGGCCAAAGGCCGACCTGGTTCAGCATCCTGTTCTCAAAGTGGCCAACTGGGAAGCTTACAAGCCGGACCCGAGTGCGAGAGTAACTCTTGGCACTTGCGGTTCCCAGCAACTGATATCCAGAGCTATATTGGCTCCTTAAGAGAATGTAGAACGTAGCCATTGATAACCTTCCCCTCCAAGTTGGTAGACATTTCGCAGGAACAAATTCCACAGTTTAGCTATGTGTTGTGTGAAGGTGTACTTTATTTTGTCTGTCTGCATGAAGTAGAGAAGTAACCCTAACCCTGGCCACTTTCTCCAGGCCATCTACCAATTTGATACACCTTTATCATGTCCCCCCAATTACGCGCCTTTTCTCTGGACCTAAAAGCCTCTCCCAAAAAACTAAAAAGCACATCTTTACAGAGGACAGTTCTCTAAAGTGACCTCTATTTGAGGGCTGTCCAGTCCAAGTCTGGTTTAAAGGTAAGGAACCACAAGAAGGGAGGTTA